TAGGGCCTCATGTTATCTGTTTGAGCAGCTGAGATTGTAATTTCTGTATCTGGCCTAGTTTTTTTTTTTGCTGTCTGCAACACGTGATTTCCTCATCTATAGATGCCTAAATGTTTACATTGAACCAGATTCCATTCAAAACGGCTGTTTTTCTTTTTTATTGCTCAGAATAATATGGTATATTCCATGTGGTGACTGGATCCCTGCAAGCACATCCTATGTGCAAAATGGGGCCGGCATGCCCCAATACGCTGCTGAAATCCTTTTCAAAATCATTACTCATAGACCATTTAGGTATATATATATATATATTTAGACGATTATGAATAGCTCTAAATCTGTTTATAGAAAGATTTCCGATGATCATCACCTGGAAATGAAGGGATTCAGGATGATGAAATGGGTTGCTATCCGATCATTGCAATCCAAGGTGAGGTTTTGGTTTTCTAGGGCAGCAGCTTTTAGCAAAGCAGTAGTAAATGATACCGAGGGAGGAAAGACAGGAAGTGAAGCAGAGGGTATGAGAGTCTTGGACCACAGGAAGATGCTTCCGTTAGAGACTGTGCACTATAAACAGAATCGGTAACAATTAATGATAAGGTTTCATTTGTTAACATTAGGTAACTACATTAGCAAACAATAACAATGAAAAATGCTTCTAAAGCATTTATAAATTTTAATGAATGTTAATTTCATAATTTACTAATATATAATTCATATTAAAAGATGTATCTGGGTGGGTGAGCTAACATGAACTAATAGTTGTGCTTTATTAAATAATGTCAACCAGGGTTAATAAATACTGTAACAAATGTTTTGTTCACTGTTAGTTAATCCATTAAAGAGCAGGTCATATGGTATTTTAAAGTGTCCTAATATTGTGTTGGAGTCCCCTACAACAGGTTTAAATGCATCTAAGATCAGAAAACATTGTAATTTTCTCAGAATATACATTTAATATTAGAATAAATTTTCAATGATTTCGAAACGATTCGTTCGAAGCAGTTCTGGGCTTAAAGGGTTAGTTCACCCAAAAATGAAAATTCTGTCATTAATTACTCACCCTCTGTGCGTCCACGACAGTATCATGACGCGAGCGTGTGTCGGCGCTGACCCAGATCCAGCGTAATGTCGTCATCACGCCGGATCTGGGTCAGCGCCGACACACGCTCGCGTCATGATACTGTCGTGGACGCACATCCACAACTGAAGCAGTAGAGACGAAAATGTGGAATAAAGTCGTTATTTTTGTTTTCTTTGCACAAAAAAGTATTCTCGTAGCTTCGTAACTTTACAGTTGAACCACTGATGTCACACGGACTACTTTGTCGATCATCTTGGTACTTTTCTGGACCTTGAACGTGGTAGTTACCTTGCTGTCTATGGGAGGGTCAGAGAGCCCTCAGATTTCATCAAAAATATCTTAAATTGTGTTCCGAAGATGAACGAAGGTCTTACGGGTTTGGAACAACACGAGGGTGAGTAATTAATGACAGAATTTAAATTTTTGGGTGAATTAACCCTTTAAGGTCTGTAAACTCCTCCCTTCCATAAGTCTACTCTGCTCTGATTGGTCAGCTGGCTAAGTCTGTTGTGATTGTTCTTTCCGTATACAATAAGTGTCGGAATGAAACGCCCTGAGGATTACTTGTAAACAAAGATGCTATACGCTTACAAAAATGGCATCAATATTACCTTATCAATCCGAGCCCAAGACCGAGGATGATTCCGATGCAGTCGCTCAACCGGAAACTCCATTGCAAGCACCACTTGATTAGGACGGTTTTCAGTGGTAAGTTTAAACTTTGTATGTGGTACTTTACATCTTTCGGCAATGATAACAAAACAAACTTGCTTTCACCACACAGAACACAGAGTCTTCGCGACCTGATGTAAACACACTAACTAGCGGAAGAAGTGTTTGTGGGCAGGTCAGAGTGTTTGTATTTCGCGGGCAGGCGGGGATTATGCAAATGTGTTACCATGTGACATATATAGGTAACAGGAAGAAGATTAGAAAATATGACAACTCGTTAAGGCGGTTCAGAATCGACTCTTTCTTTTGAGAGACAATATCTTTATTTATCATGCACTTTTTTGATTAACAACTTTGCACACTGTTTACATTGAAGGATAACTATGTTACAAACGGCAAAAATATATATTCTTCGAAAACCCATATGACCTGCTCTTTAACTGAAAGGACCTTATTGTAAAGTAGTATTCTCTATATTAATAGTGGTAGCATCATTTGATCAATTACACTCTTTTTTAAATTTTTTTTATTTGCATCTGGTTCCATAAAGCACATCTAACATCCATGGAACCTTTCTATTCCAAAAAAGGTTCTTGATAGTGGAAAAGGGTTCTTTAGATTATTAAAATGTTCTTCACATTGGTTCTTTTAAGAACTGTTCCCTGAAAGGTTCTTTTGGGAACCAAAAATGGTTCTTCTGTTGCATCACTGCAAAAACAGGCAGTGTAGGGCAGCGCAAATATACTTTTATTGGCTGGATTGTGATTATGAACTCCTTAATCAAGATGAGCAGATTCATTTTTGTATTTCAAGGGGATTTTGCATTGATGTCTGAGTAATTTTGTGTGTGTATGTGGTAGGATGAAAGGAGACACCCCTGTGAACAGCACCATGAGCGTCGGTCAGGCCAGGAAGCTGGTGGAACAGCTGAAGATTGAAGCCAGTTTTTGTCGAATCAAGGTGAGGGTTGCCATGCAAAATAACCAGAAAATGTGGCAAACAGGAATCAGATCAGTGGTAATCCTGCCTGCCTAAAATGACGTCTTATTATACCAGCCTGTACATAGCAGACTAATTTGTATAAGATGTGATCAAAGATCTGGAATCAGGTTAATAGGTATGACCTAATTCTACAATCCCCCCGGTAAAGTGTGTCCTACAAGTAGAATTTGAAGCATTCAACAGTCTCTAAGCATTGACCTCAACCTTTCATTTCACTCATACAATGTTCTATTTAATTAAAATGTTGTTTTAGCCAAGATATGAAGGTGCAGTTTATAAAGCAAGACACTACAGGCAAACAAACCCAGTGTTTTTCAGGTGCTGGTCAATTTTGAGATTATTTTGAGGCTATTTTGTATCCATCACTTGTCTTCATTTTAGACTAGTAGAAAGAAAACACTCAAAATACCCATTTAAGTGTTCATTTTATTACACTTTATTTATTTGTGTCTATAGATTTCAGTTGCAAGCCTGTTTTCTCAAAATGGGTTTTTTCTCATATGCATAAAAATCTCAGTAGCACTTACAAACACTCAACTTTATTTTTATTCAAATTCTGAAGGTATTTACAAAAGAGTTTGTTCATACAACGTTCACCTGATTTACTTTATTCCTAAATATATGGTGATTTGATAGTATTTTCTGATTTATGGAGTGATCCAAAATCCTCTCTGTAAAAACTCTCTTATGTCATCAAAACAAAACAAGAATTTTTGTTCAGACTTCTCTTCTAGAAATGTATACAAATTAGTGCATATTTAATTAGATAATGCCTTATTTGCATATTGGAACATAACATTTCAGAAAACTTGTAATACAAAACAATTATCTTAATGTACTTTAATTAATTAACTGGGGAAAGGTGATATCTATTTGTTATTTTTTTTTTTTACCAGTTTCACCTGCAGTGTCTTACCTTAAGAAAGAGACGATCAGCTTTGAATCAATAACTGTTTTAGTGCTTTTAATTTTCGGCACTGATAATCTACCTGAATTCGTAGGTGTCTAAGGCAGCGGCGGACTTGATGGCCTACTGTGATGCCCATGTATGTGAGGACCCTCTCATCACCCCTGTGCCCACTTCAGAAAACCCGTTCAGGGAGAAAAAGTTCTTCTGTGCTCTGCTCTGAACAGGACATCGGAAGGGCAGAATTAGTTCCATTTAGATGATAATGATTTGTGTACGCACATCACACAACACAACTCAACACTCAACGAGACACGACACAGCGAAATAAATCCCAAATTAAGCTTTAATAAATGCAAAGTGGTTTCTAAATTTCAGCAATTGACAGCACCAAATTGTCAAAATCATACTTGTGAGGATATTTTTATTCTCCTGTTTTTTGGGGGGGACCAAAATAACATCAAGATTGATGCAAATTGATTAGATGAAATCACACACTGATACACATATGCAAGCACAGTTTTTTAATCAAGCAAAAGGAAATAGGTGCGGGTCTGGATATTTCAATGATTTCAAATTTTATTATATTCAAGACATTCGTTATGTTCTTCACACATACACTCTTAAAAATAAAGGTGCTTCAAAAGGTTCTTCACAGCGATGCCATAGAACCATTCAGTCTTTAAAGAACCATCTCTTTCTTACCTTTTTGTAATCTGAAGAACCTTTTTTCACCACAAAGAACCTTTTGTGAAACAGAAAGGTTCTTCAGATGTTAAAGGTTCTTTATGGAACCCTTTAGACAAAAAGGTTCTTCTATGGCATCGTGAAGCACCTTTATTTTTTAAGAGTGTAGCATACTATGGTGATTTACAAATTCTGTATGTATATTTCGATTTTTTAAAAATGTTTTGTTTGAGGTGGCTATGTACGCTGGTAGACATTTCTGATTAACTGGTAGAACTAATGAAGTTATGCACTTGATAAGAGTAAAGTCTTGCGGTCCCGCCTCATTTCTTCGCGGTCAGCGCCACACAACAGCTGACACGCCATTCTCTATTCATTAAAACAAATAATAATAACCTAAGTAGCGAACACAACAGTATGAACAGTACACTTAAGCTAACGCGCAGCAGTAACATAGTTTATATCATACCTGAACACTATCATGGAGAAATGTCAATCTTGTTTTATTATATGTATTTGCATGTAATTTCTTGACTGTTATTGAGCATTAATAAAAAAAAAAAAAATCTGGTCCCGTGCCGATAGTTATGTGCGTGCAGCTAATCTAGTTTCTTTTTGTTTTCAGGACTGTTGACATAAACTGACAAAATGAGCAACGATACTGAAGTGGATATGAAAGATGTGGAGCTCAATGAGGTGGAGCAGGAGAAGCAGCCCATGACCGAGGGGGAAGCTGGAAATAATTATGCTATCTCGCCTGTATCCGAGAAGAATGGCATTGGATGGTTCCACAAAAAAGCAGCACTAGCAGTGCAGCACTATATACAAGCATTATTTTTTTTTAATTAAATGTATTTTTTGTTCACTTCTAGGTATCTCTGTTGTTTTGGACCTGACCCCTAACTATAAAGGCAAAGATCCCTGGTTTACTGATGCTGTCAGCACTGTGGTCAAACTTGAGGTATGACCTTGACTGTGAACAATAGATCTGGATAATTTCTTGACTGACTTAATCTACGTTGTCACTTGAACTTGATTTGTGCACTTGCGTTTTCAGAGTAATAATTGTGACTTTTGTGTTTGCAGTCTGCTCTGATGCATTGGCTAGGAGAAGGTGTAGATGGATTCCTCTTCTACGGTGTCGAGAAGGCTTCCACTGCAGCCCCATCCCTTTGGGAGGATGTTGAAGTCCTTATCCACAACCAGACGGAATCCGTGGAAAAAAAGAAAAGGTGAGCAATCGATAGTTGAACTTTTACTCTTAAATTTCATTAGTGGACTCGCACACTCTTTTGTGAGGTAAAGGTGGAGCAACTTTTACAAACTGAACTCCAGTCAAGGGGACACTAGTGGGCTGTTTCTTTGTTTGAGATTGTGTTGCCAACCAAACAGCTCCATATGGTGGTTTATATTAATTATATCAATACTTGTATTAAACTGACTTTTACTTACTGACTTTTTTTTCCTTCCAGGGTCTTGATTGGTGTTACGGAACATACCTCTCCTGATGATGTCATTGCTGTGTTGAACAAAACTGGTGTGGACCTGCTCCTCACTGATGCTTTAAGATCCACATCTGCTCTGGACGTTGCCCATACTGTTGATCGCTTGTATTCCACTTACGGTCAGACCAGACTGGCTTGGAACATAGGTGGGCGTATTGCTGGACACCTGGCTTCACTGGTGGGGTTCGCCAAAGTCAAGTTGAGTTACCTGCTGCTGCTCACTCTGCCAGGCACACCAGTGTTTAATTATGGGGATGAGATTGGACTGCAAGATGAGGTGTGTGAACTTAAGGTTTTTATCAAGAGAATTCCCACAGATCCAGGTGTTTTCCAAGAGCAGATCCTAAAACGTTATCCTTCCATTTAGGTGACCAAAAACCCGACCATGGTATGGGAAGACCCTCAAGAAAATCTGACAGTGGTAAGGAGCATATGCACACAGTGCTGAATCTCCAAAGTGACCCTATTCAATGTGACTAGCAGCTTTGGTTACATTTTCATGTTTTGCTTTACAGAGCAAGATGGATGAAATGACCACTTTCCGTAAGTTCTTCAAATCTGTGAGTGAAAAAAGGTCGAAAGAACGCTCTTTGCAGCACGGAGAATACTTGCCTTTGTTCAACTCTACCTCCGCCATGGCCTATGTGCGAAGCTGGGACCAGAATGAGCGCTACATTATTGCACTCAACTGGCACTCGGAAGAAACTGTCACTCTTCAGCTAAAGCATGCTGAGATTCCTGAACATGCTACAGTAGTGTTCAGTACTAGTGATGGTAAACAAGTTGATGAAGTGCTTAACCTTGCACAACTAGAGGTGAAGCCAGAACAGGGTATAATGCTGAAGTTCCCTTACACTCCCTGAAGACATTGTAAACTCTCAGTTAGTGCTAGGATGCTGATTTTACAAGTGTTTGTTTGGCCGTTCTGTTACACTATTAATCCTTTAGTACAAAAACACTGGCATATATCATCACATTGTACTGTTACATGCACTACATGACTACTAAACTGAACTTAAGTTGGTAGTTTTAGTTTATGCTGTTACTTGGACTACATTCCATTGAAGAAAAATTTGTTTTTATTTTTAACCTTATGTTTTAGTTTTTAATGTAGTGCAATTCTAAACCCAAAAAGTGTTCAAAACTTCAATGGCTGTTACTTATATGTAAGGGGGGATGTTGACAATAAATTAAATGGAGCAGTTCATCTTTGTTGTTTTTGTCATTGTATTTATTCAGGTGGGGTTCCCTCGTCTATTTTCATAAGTGTTGCCAGCATAATGAGATGTAACGGAGACCTGGCTGAATTATTAAAATCTACCGCCATAAAATGGAGCACCTCTCATTGTCTCCAGCATAGCATGATATCAGGTGTCTCTACTGATGACTTCTTTATTTAGAGCTATTCATTATGCATCTGGAGAGTTCAGTCTCACCTGGCTACTTGAACTCATTACAGATTTATGAACCCCTACTGAGATCGGCTCAGTGCCTAAGAGTAATGAGGGAAATTGTATCAAGTGTGTATGATGTCTGAAAGAACGGACCTAATCATCACAAGAAACAAAACTACAGTTTAGATCTAAAAGGAAGTAAAAAAAATATATACATATTTTAAACCTCTCTGATGAATGAGTTTCCTCTGTGTCCTCTACCTTTTTACAACTCAAACTTTTCTAGGTCAATTACTCATTTGGGACCACAAACCTGACCAAGAACCTCTACTTTTAGGCAATGCGCCATGGTCGCTTCTAACCTAAGGGCGTTGGAGTTAAACACTTTATTTCTCTAAACAACATATCCAAAATCAATGTATTGACCATAAAGACATAATTACAACAGCAGACTCTTTCTCTAACAAGCTGCCAAGTGTTGCATCTGCAGCACTATACGCACTAGTCATTTTCCTGTGTCTGTCTCTTTAAGAACTGCTCTCTTCGAGGACTCCCTGACGCATTGCAGGTGGCTGAAAACCAATCTAAAGACATTTCCTAGGTCAGCTGACGAGTACCATCAGACCTCTATATATAAACTCTCCGGACCGTCCATTCAAACCTGAAAGCCACCGTTCTATGCTATGGCTTTTGAAAAGAATAATCCAAAAATCGAAATTTACAGTCGATAAACAACGCCGTATAATATATCGGTTATATAAACGAAAACGGAACCGTTTCACTGCAATTTAGACTACTGAACATTTCGACTACGTGGCGGAGGAAGACCATAGTAACAGCTTTGTTGTCAAGGAGTGCGACGTCCCACTTTGGACCAAAGTACCAAGGCGCAGTGATATTGAAATTTGGGCGCACAGCAGCAGAAGATAGTGCTTGACAATCGCACGGGTGTAAAGCAAACGCTTGGGTTTTTGTTTATTTCCTGTACGTACAGACTAACGTAGTTCACACTAAAATACAATGGTAAGTTACTTTATTACTCTTTATCCTAATTGCTAAAGTGCAGCGTAGCTACAAAAATGGCTGAGCGTCCATGGCGAAGTGATAGGTGTGAATGGGCTACTGTTAGCCTAGCTCCTCGCGAGCTAACCGTCATTCTATTGAAAGCGCGCGAGCTAACGTCACATAAACGGGTTACACACAGTTTTCACATTGTAGAATAAACGGCTTTATCGCTTTCTGTGTGACTTTTTGCAGCGCATGCTCTAATCGCAAATGGGCGTGAGATGTTTACAGCATAAAATGCGCTATACTAGCACATCCTTGACTGATTCCGTTGCTAGCTCGCCTCATGTTGGCGTCAGTAGACAGCAGCTTGAAAAGCATCGACGATAGATGTAACGTTAGAGATCGCCCTCATTTACATTAGACAAAACCAGCGTCGTCCCTTGTGAAAAAATAGCTCTGGCCTTTTCTAATATATCTGATCGGTCACAACATGCTTGTAGTTCCTCACGGCATGCGCACTATTCCATTCAGCTGCTCTGTAAGTAAACCACATTATGGACCAATAAGACAACACGTATGTTAAAATGTGTTCAAATACAGCAGGATAGTCTGCCTTTAAAGCGTTTTGTAATAGTCTAATTCACAACGCCAGAGCTAGGCGTTGTGGTCATGAATTACATGATCTAACTTGTAAAACACAAGGTATCAGGTGTTAAACACGCAATAAATACAACTGAGCTATTGACTGATTTGAAAATATGCCAGTGCTATTAAAATAAATACTCTTTTCTTTTTGTGTCCTTCCTATAGGCTGATCAGCTAACAGAGGAGCAGATTGCTGGTATGCAAGATTAACCTTTGCTTCAAACCTTTATCTTAAACCAGCAATTCGATGATGTGCAATAAATGAAAACATTATTATTTTTTTTTCAGAATTCAAGGAGGCCTTCTCCTTATTTGACAAAGACGGTGATGGCACCATCACTACTAAAGAGTTGGGGACTGTCATGCGGTCTTTGGGCCAGAATCCTACAGAGGCAGAGCTTCAGGATATGATCAATGAAGTTGATGCTGATGGTGAGGAAGCCCTTCCACAAATAATGCCGTGTTACAATAGCTCTTCTCTTTTTCTAAATCTGTTGGCTTTTTTCGCCCTTCAGGCAATGGAACGATTGATTTCCCAGAGTTCCTTACAATGATGGCCAGGAAGATGAAGGACACGGATAGCGAGGAGGAGATCAGAGAAGCATTCAGAGTTTTTGATAAGGTATAGAAGTGTACTTTCTTATAAATGCTTCTTATTGAAGATATTTCTTTAGGGGAAAAAATGTGGAAAGAATGTTCATCTGTCTCAATGACTAATGCTTTACAGGATGGAAATGGCTATATCAGTGCAGCAGAGTTGCGTCATGTCATGACAAATCTGGGGGAGAAGCTTACAGACGAGGAAGTGGATGAGATGATCCGGGAGGCAGATATTGATGGTGATGGTCAGGTCAACTATGAAGGTATTTCCATATATTAATGTCATTAATGCATTTTTTAAAATATGTAAATGGATGTTTTGTCTGAATAAACGCCAAGCTTGTGTTTAAGAAGATTAAGAACAAACCAAACATTTCTTAAAGACACCAAGAAAGGCTTTAGTTGTAGTTTGTTCCCTGCAGAATAATTGTGAAATCAGTTTGTGAAGATTTGCACGTTGATCTCTTTAAAAAAAATTTCCCTTCTCTACAGAGTTTGTCCAGATGATGACAGCAAAGTAAAAACTGGAAACCAAAAGGAGCACAACAGACCAAACAGTGGGCAGCACTCTCACTGTCAACCTTCAACAAGCATTCACAACCCAATCTCTTACTCTCCATTTAGTTTTGCTCTCCTTCACTTTCCCTTATTTTGATCAGTCCTCTACTCTGCTTGGTTTTCCAACATGATCTCCTGTCAGCTTTTTTCCTACATTATCTGGTTTTCTTTGGAAGAAAATATTTACATGCACAACAAAGTTTAAACCTTGCATATATGATGGTGATGATAACAGCAGTGTAACACATGTATCAATATTTTAAAGATTGTGACATACTATATGGACAAGAGCAATGCATGCTTTATTTACGTTTGGCATGTTTGTGTTTTTTCTTTTCTTTTTTTCTTCCCAGCTTGCCTCTTTTTCTAACTTGCTAGTTCTCCTTTAACTGCATGTTTCTCATGCAACCTCTGCTCAGTGGTCTTAGAACTGTATGGTGAATAACCATTCATGGTTAATCAGGGGCTTTATATAACAAAATGGCTCAAACTTCCATGTCATAGGGTGATTGTTTTTGTAAGTGTAGATCTGTGTGTCTGAGTGAGTGCTTGTAGTTGGGTTTAAAGTGGAGCCACGAAGGACAGTTTACGTTTTGGTATAGGGCTTGTTCTTTAGAGACTGCATAACTAACGTGTAAGATAAAAAAAAAGAAAATTAGACAAACCTGCGTAGAATAATCCGGAAATGGTTAATTGGGGACCAATTATTTCAGTTAGTTAGTTTGCCCCTTTTTGTATTATTTGAGAGAAACATGGTGGAAAGGCTTGACCTTCTTTCCAACTTGCATTTCCTCACTAATTTCACTACCGCAAAGCAAATGCCACCTATTTGTTCTAGACTGGTGTAGAGAGGTTTAATGTTTGAGCTCTATTAGTGTGGAGTTTGTACTGAAGATGTTGAATAGTTTTCACCTTAGTCTTCAGTCTTACATTTTGATGCTGCACTCGATGTCCTATTCAGTGGACTATTTCTGTCTGGGGAAAAATATTACATTTAAGCTGTGTTGGTTCTTCCTGCAGGCTGTTCAATATATTTGTATACATCAAAAACACCTGCATTTTATGATCTTTTTAGGATCTTTTCTCATAGAAACAACAGCATGTTCTCCTCTTCCATGGTCCTGAAGTTGTGGTCCATGCACAGTGGCAATTGAGATGGTGCGAAATGCTTGTCATCCAGTTAGACTGTGTCCGCCATGTTGGTGCAGCAACTGCTGCCATGAAACCTGCGACTGCAGGCGCTTTGAATGAAATCCATTTTTTGTAACTGTATAGACCAAGGTTAAACACAATAGCGCTTAATGGTAGAATCACATACATTATGGTGGTAGTATTGCATCTTCTGCCCCAGTTCTTAATTTATTCTACTGTTGTTTTCTTTTTTTATGATCTTTATATGCCGGTTTTCTTTTCGTTCTGAGATCTGAGTTTACTGTCTGGTTCTTTTTTCCTCTCTCTTCTTCTGCCCATAAGGTAGTAAAAAATGAAAGGTTATGCATTCCATTGCATAACTCTGGTTTTCTTGCTAAATAAACGTCTTGGACCTCTGTTTCTAAATGACTTCTTTTTGTTCATAACACTGTTGCCTATATAACTGTAAACCTGCATGGGCTTATATTAAAAAATAGTGTAAGAGAGACAGAAAAGTGCATTTAATGTATATCTATTGTGTTTATTGCCATTTGTTTGCACAAGGCAATATTAGGTTTTATAATTTTGAATTGCATTTTTAGTTCAATTAAGAACCACAATGCTCACAGCATATCACATAAAAACACATTACGTAATGTATAAGGTCTGCACATATTAGAAACAAACCCGTTTAGAGATATTTTCTGAACTTCTGAAGTCCATTATCCGTTTGTAGTCTTATCCCGCCGTAAAACTACAACACCGAAGTGCTGCATGGTTTCCCCAAATGTCCAGTAGCGGTCCTGTACAGACGCAGAACGAGTGATTTACTGCTGATTTCAGCGGCAACCAATCACTTCAGTGACAAGTG